TACCAGCATGTCAATAAACATTTCACTAGAAATTCGAACTATCCTGGTAAAATAGAGGCCCCTCCTTTATGCCTATGAAGTGCCTACCACCTACTTCTCCCCCAACTATGCCATCCTACCATAATCAAATGCACACAAAAATAGACATTATTTGTACATAATTCTGCCTTTACACGAGTTCAGTAAGACTTGGGTAATACAGTTAAAAAACTAGAACGTGCTTTTGGCTCTTCCGACAGTCCCCCAAGTCTGGTAATGCGTCACCCAGCTACCCTGTCAATAGCGTGTGTGCAAGCAAAGAAAAATGAGAGTGAACAGAAGGCAGTGTTAAATAAATTCTACAGCAAGGGTGAACTGCAACCCTGCACAAAGGCCTATGTACTTCTTAAAAAAACTTAACACAAGTGGTGCCAGGTCTCTAGGGGCCTCTACTTGAGTGGGGGGTTGGAGGGGAGGGGTTGAATTTCATCCAAGTGAATGATGTACCAAATCTGCGGCAGTCTCCAGTCCAGTGAAGTATATCCTGATGTGGATTTGACAGTTGGGTGGTGGGGAGCGGGAAATACTATTGCACTTACACGACACCCCCCACTCCAGTAGCCTCAAACACAACAGAGATTTGGCTCCAACTAAGAAATGGCCACCCACTGGCATCCAATGAGTAGGAGCGTGCAGTGAGTTGTAAAGAGGAAGTCATGGGGCCCCTAACGCAGGTGTGGTCAGTAAACTCACAGGTACAATGGAGAACAAAAGGAATTAAAAATAAACAACAACCACTTAACACTAAGTACATTTTTGGCTAAAAAGGATTTAGAAGTTTAACTGAAACTTCGCAGTAAACATATGTCCAATAATCAAGCTCATGATGCTGAAAGTGTATCCACCTCAAGGACTAAGAAACAAATATGCTCTTGTGCTAAAGGGGATAGCAGCCACTCTCTTAAAATAGAAGACTGGCTCAATATTCATTCTGAAGTGAAGGCGAGAGAGACACCAGACCTCTCTGCTAGTAAGCAGATTGGTTTGCTTGGAACACATTCCCCGTGCATAGGCTTGGAAGGATCAGGTTTTGATTGTCTATTACTTTTGACAGATGATACTGACGAGCATTTCTAACTATCTTTTTCAGTGTTCATGAGTGGAAATTTTTGTACTAACAGGAATTTAAAAATTTTGAATTGAGGCAATATTTGTATAAACTGTAGTGACCGACTGTCCAAAATATAACCAGAATAGTTTACATTGCTAGCTGTTAATTGAATTGACAGCAACAGAGGAGGAAGCTAGATATCTACAAGAGCAACGTATCATATGATATGTTCTTAACTTTCCTTCTTTGTACATTTTTTTATGGTTAGTGATGGAATTTCTTTTCACCCATTTCAGCTGAAGGGCAAAAATGACAGTTGCAAATATTTGCTAATTAAAACCTAACCTTTCCAACACTAACTCTAAACAGATGGTCACTAAAACCAGAAAAACAGAGCACTGAAGCCATTTGGGACTTTAGTCTGCTAACCATCTGCAGAGTTTTAATTATGGACCCATCCCTGCTTGCACTGAAGTCAATGGGTCACATTCATCCCTGGTAGAACGTCATCCGTCTAATTCACCAGGGATGAATTTAGCCAAATAAGTTAACGGACATTTTGTCACTGACTTCAACAGAAGCAATCAGGTCGTATATCTGCCTTTCCTTCAAAAGCTGATTGAAAACCCACCCCGGAAATGATCTGAAAATTTATTTGCGGTAGTTTTTGAAGCAAGCTGATGTTTTATTTTTCAAAATTTTTCCACTGCACTTTTTTTAATCAGTAGTTTTCAAAAGTGATTTATTCTTTAATTTGAGGGAAAAAAAATCCCACTAAGCGACTAAGATGATCAAACAATAGTGGCAATTAAGAAATAAAAATCAACAACTCAGGATGACAAAGACTGAAAAGAGTAACAAGAAGAAATCAGCACCTCAACACATACACGAGGAACTCAACAGTAATGGAAAACAAAGAGGAAAAATGAAGACAAAACCCAACAGGTTACATTTTTCATTTACCATTTTCAAAGAAAAAATATTTTAAAAAAATCTAATAGGTTTCACACATAAAAATACCTCTTTTTGAAACAGACTATTTTTTGACCTAAGTTTTCATTTGAAAAATGTTAACAGGATCTAGTCCCTTAAAAAAAAAAGGGATGCTATATTGATAAAACTGTCTTGATGTGGGGGAGTTGACACAGCCATTTTAATCCAGTAGGGACTGGCATACAAGTATTAGATAACTAAAAATAAACATCTACAGATCTCCCCTAGAAGGCACCTTCCCTCAGATATGTATGAGCAAATAAGAAATGAGCAAATAGAGTTCAAATGAGATCAAATTCCTGAGGGAAGAGGCTGCCTTGAAAATTCTGACAGGCCACATTTGCCACTGCCTCTCCTTTGAAAAAAAATGGCCAATTCTTCTTGCTTTCGTTATCCCAAAGAAGGCATCATTTCTATACCTAACTTTATATACACAGAAATGCTCTGGCAGCTATACAAAATACTCTTATAAACATAGAATAATTACTGACCTATTTACAAAAAGAAGCTCAACTAAATGCAGGCATGTTCTTCACAACAGCAAGATTACAGCAGTATTTGCATGTCTTCCCTGATACTCAGCTTGGTCTATGGTACATTTGGACATCAGAGGGGGAAAAAAGGGCTTCCCATATTTAGCACAATCAGTGTCATTATCCTAGAAAGTTTTTGGTGGAACTTTGCCTTTCAACTTGTGAAAGAAAACTTTGGACATGTGTACGTAAGAGATAATTTAACGGCCAGTTATAATTAAATAGGATTTTTTTTCCTCTGAACTTTCTCACAGAAAAGGAAATGAAAGAAAAACAATCTCCCACCAAAAATTTCCCTTTTCTTCTAAGTGATGCTATTTTCTTCACTTTATGTGTAATTAGCTGCGCTAAAGTAGTGGAACATGAAGACCAAGCAGGTCCCAAAGAAGACAAAAAATGCAAGACAAAAAAAATAAGTTAACATTTATCAAAACATTTTTACAGCAAGCAATCTGCCTAAATTTAAATAGTTTTCCTTTCAAAACCCACCTTTCAGCCAGCACTCACCCCCTTCGAATATTCATGCAGTGCTAAATTTAACAACTCCTTAAAAGCTGTTGCCCAAGCTGGAGAAAAGCACTCAGCTGTTTTTGGTACCACAGGAAACATTTTTCTCTTCTGTTGGTTTTCTCTGACATCAGTACTCTTTATGAGCACGTGAAGTATACTAGGAGTGTCTCCATTTAGGATAAAAGGATGAGAACTCCATCGTGGTTCTTGACTCTGACATTCTTCCTTCCCCGCTTGAGTGGAACTCTTGGAATTTCACATGTCTGAGGAGAGAAGAGACTTGACCGACAGTCAAGATCCACTGTATAGCTCCAAGAGCAGGACTTGGCCCTTATTTTGTACTATAAGCAGCACATGGAACAGTGTTAAAATGATCCATGTGCTACTGAAGTCCCACCAACTGTTATCACTGAAACGGCACTAGACAAATTCTGAACCTGTGGCAGATCAGCAGTGTCCTACAAAAAAGGGCTATGGGTTCAATTCACTCCTGTGCAGAAAGCCAGGACAATGTCTCTACACCATTTAAGCCCTACTTAGTATAACAGGTGGAAGGATGGTCCAGTGGTTAGGTCACTAGCCTGGGATGTGAGAGACCTGAGTTCTATTCCATGCTGCACCCCAAACTGTCTGAATGATCTTCGGCAAGTAATTTAGCGGACAGCTACACTGTGAGCTGGGGGTTTGCTTCCCAGCTTGAGGAGCCATACCCGTGGCTAGCTCTCAGTATAGCTGAAGTGGCAGGAGGTGCTTGCTGCCCAAATGCAATCCCATGCAAAACCCCAGACACGTCCTTTGGGTGGCTAGCCCCTCACAGCGCTGTAGCTACATTCAGGCTAGCACAGGTGTGTCTCCTGGAGCTGCTGGGAATCACAGCCCCAACTTGAGGTATAGGTTTAGTATCTGCTCTGTGCCTCTGGGGATAACATAGGGGCATTATAAGGACCAACCCATTAAAGTTTGAGGAGTGCTCAGACATTATGGTAATGGGGGCCTTACCTGAGATACCTAGACAGAGCTCTGCTCAGGGTGGGAGAGAAGACTTTCGCCATAAGGAATTGTCTACTCTGGAAAGTTTTTTCAGCGTAAGTGAAGGAGTGAATGTAACCCGATACAATTACACTAGTATAACTCCTGTGGGGACACACTGACTCTGGCATAGGAGTCCCTTTTTCCATTTTAGCTTACGTTGCCTGGGAAGGGGTGTAAGCACAACCAAAAAGAGTCACTTGTATACCAGAATAAGCGTGTCCACACAGCGGGTTTAACTGCTTACACACACCAGTGTCGATCAGGCCTTTCAGCTTACCTCAGCCTTGCTGGGCAGGAGGCTGCATGCTCCATTGTGTGACTGGCTAAGGGGACATTTTACATTGCACACAAGGGTTGCTTGGTAGAGCTGACAGGAGCTGTGAGAGTCTCAGATACTTTCCCCCACAGAATTTTGAGTACTGTGAGAATCTTTTGTGCGTCGTTTTCTACGGGCTTCTACCTGTTGTGCCCATTGATGTCAAAAGCAAACTCTCAGGGTCAGCTTCTCTTCTAACTTTGACTGGCATAAATCAGGACTATCTCCACTGCCTTTGACAGAGGGCTCTTTGGAGACACCCACGCCTAGCGCCACTGAACTACTTACACCAAGCAGATTTACAGCTACAGCTGGAGGCCCCTCTAGTGAGCAGCAGGGTCTGTTATTCACAGAAGCATTTGTTTGTACTAGCTGCATGAAGGTAAAGGGAATTCAGCCTCAGAGCAGCTCCCCTAAACATCACGGCAAAGCTGCATTTTAAAGTATACAAGTACCTTTTCAGAAGTTAAATACAATTAAAATAATGCCACTGGATGCTTTTCTTTAAAATGTAACTCATTGCAGGCACTTTTTAACCAGATGGGAGATTATTTTTGGTGAGACTTTTTTTGTGATACAGCCCACATCACTTGATCCAAGGATCTGATCTAGGAATGACATTAGCATTGCAGAGTCTGTTCCATTTAAAAACAAGTACCTGGGGAGTTAATTCACAGGACTACTGAGAGAAGGACTTTCAGGAGGCCTAGTCTCATAGCAGCATTGAAGGTTAACTGGCACCGGAGGAGCGGTTTTCTTTCTATACATTAAAAAAAAAAAAAAGAGAGAGAGAGAGAGAGAGAGAGAGCGCCTGCAGCCCAGGGAACAGTGTTGGGAGTATGCCAGAGGCATGGCGTTTTCCTTGTGATCCCTTTTAACTGCATCACCAAGGTAAATCGAGCTTCAAGTTGCAGCAAGCACGGCTGGGAATCCCACCCTCTGCTGCACGGATTAACAGAGGAAGTAGTTCAGGGTCCCCGAGATGAAGCTTCCTCGTCTGAAGTGACTGCTGGGCTGCTCTTCAGCCGAACACGCTATCATTTACAGCTGTCCAAGTTGGGGTCCGTGTTTCTTTCTGAATCTGGCGGTGCTGAATCCGTAGCTTCCACGCTGTGCCCCATTCCATATGCAAAGTAAATGATAAAACCTGTGGGAGCGAAGGAGGGGAAATGTCAGCAGTATAACCAACCGGAAGCTACTTTTCATACTCAGGGGCCGCTTAGTCTCAATAAAACGTATTGGCAGCTAATACTAATCTTGCTAACGCTTGATAGTCTAGCAATATCCAGCATTGCAACTAAAGTCAATGAGGCTAACTAAGGACACCGGGAGGGCAGAATTTGGCCGTACACATTTAAAATAAGTTTGGGTTCTCAACCTCAAATGGCTAAAAAGACACATTTTTAAACTCACCCAAGAACATCCAGACAGCAAACCGTATCCAGGTCCCTTTATCCAGCTGCATCATGAGATAAACATTCACAAAAATACTCAGAATAGGAAGTAAAGGCAAAAGAGGTACCTGAAAAGAAAGAGAGACCAGTGACGTCCGCAGGTCATGATAACACACAGACATGAATGTCCCTTGTAAGCAGGAAGCTGCCAAGCCTCATCTGCCAGAGGCTCCTGGAGAAGTGATGAGTCTGTCAAAACGCAGCTCTCCATTCTCCCAAGGTGAGGACCACCATGAGCACCAGCCCCGTGTGCACAGAAAGCCCTTTGGCTTGGATTTTCCCTCCAGTTGCCACCACAAACTAATCATCTTCCTTCCAAAGCCCTTTCCACTATCCCGCTCTGATACTGTTAGCAGCATCGTCGTCATCCTTCCCTACTTGGGAGTCAGCTTTGATTCCTCGCTCTCTTTTTCACCTCACACCCAGGACCCCAGCTAATCCTGCTCCTGCTTCTCCTACAATTCATCCCACTCCTCTGTGGCCTCCCTCTCTACCCGCTCTCCTTATCCCAGTCCATCCAAAAAACTGCTGCCAAAACCATCTCCCTTCACTGCTGCTCTGGCCACATCATCCTATTTCTTGACTCTCTGCAAAAGCTTCCTCTATTCCAGTCTCTCCTCTTCACCTCCTGGGCTCTGTGCTCCCACTTACATTTCAGCCCTCCTCTCTTCCACTTCCCCCTCCTGCTTCCTCTGTTCTGCCCCAAGTGTCACTCTTCTCACTCTCTCCGAACTTCACGCCTCCCTGTCCACAGGACAGCCTCACAGTTAAAATATGCAAAGCTCCTTCATTCTCTACACCAAAAACCTGGCCATTCCATGGCACATTCCAGCTTCAGTGACCACTTGCTGCTTCCTTTCTGTACTGCACAGATTATTTGTTCTGTACTGAACCAGTTTGTGCCCACAGAACATAAGCCCTTCAGGGTTTTGATCTGTGATTTGCTTGGCTCAGCACATGACAGAATGAAGTCTGTCTCCAGGGGCTCGGTAGAGGTGCAGTGAGTTGTTAACATACTAATCTTTCGCTTTTGGGAATCTGGGTTTAATGTTGGATCACAAGAGGAAAGTGAGTTTGGCGATCTCTGCCTAGCTCCCAGAGGACATCTCTCTACGTATTCGAGGGCTAGTGCTGTAACAACAGGAGTGCTCACAGTCAAGTTGGAGGTGCACTGGCAGAGTGGTGTGGGATGGCTTAGCCAGTGTTCCAGCCTGAACTGGACCCACTTCTAGCCAAGAAGATCAGCCCCTCTCTTTAATATGCACCAAAATTCTCTCTCTCTTTTTCCTCTCACACACATGCAAAGCCAGCTCCCAAATAGCTCTTTGCCATTCCTTCCTCACAGGCCGCTTACCTTAAACGAGAGCTTGGTTTTGCTTTCAGGTTGTCTCCAAATAATTAAACCGACAACGAGGCAAAAGAGAACGAGCACGGCAATCACGGCGATAGCCCACGCAGTCCTTTTTATCAGCAGCTCTTTGCCAAGGACAGTAAAGCTACAGCAGCTGACGATAAGTAAACCTGAGAACAAGACAGGCCAATGTTTATTGAATTGTGACTGAGAAAAACATCTGTAATTTCTGATTCAGCTTCTGCATGTTCAGCTTCAATGTTTGAGGGATTTATTTTTAAACCAATCATTTAATCCATGGTTTTCTATGTCTGTTGTGTTGCCTCAGGCAAGCGCTTGGGCTCTAGAACAGTTAATCAAACGTATACATTATCAATTAAGATGCCAAGAAGAGTTCGAAGGAGGTTCCCTAGACTGGCAGCTGGCTCACTACAAGAGAGATGCCAGCTCACGGCACTCACCTATGATACAAGATGAGATGTTAACCACCAAACCAGAGAGTTTGGAGGGATCTGAGTTTTGGGGAAACAGAATGGCTTTTCGGGAATCATTCTCCTCCTCTTCAGGAAGAAACGGAGCCTGCGATTCACTGGTGCTCACAGACTCGTTGGGGTCTGGCTCCTCCGTTGTTCTAGCCATCTGGTAGGCCAGGTTAGGTTGCTCTGGCTGGTACCTTGGAGAAGGAAAACACCAAAAGAGCACTGCCTTGGTAGAGGGTACAGTAAATGGTCATCCAGAATTAGTAGAAAGCTTGATTGGAGCTCTCCATGTGGTTATGGACACCTGCAAGGCTTCAGAAGACATGCTGTGGCCAAAATTTACTGAAATGGGAGCCACGTTGGCTACTTGTCTGGAGCCAAAGAGAGCCATCTGATATGCACAGATGGAAGACACTGCACAGGGATTAGGTAACTGGAGGCTGGAGCACACAAATGGCGGCTCGAGTATGGAAAACATACTGTAGGCAGCAACCCTGGATTTGGGAGGAGCATGGACTAGATGTCCTAATAGGTCCTTTCCCACACTCTTGTGTTATAGTCCCAGAATGCAATGCTCCATCCTTGAGCTGAGGCTGCTCAGATCTAGATGAAGAACTGCACGTTGGGTCACATAGGCCCCAATTCTTGGGTATGCCTGAGCCATGCTCAGCAGAGGAACCAGGGATGGGAGATAAAGGTGGCTTTTATGTCACCTTTGAATGCCTCCAAATCCCTTGGGCAGCTGGAGACCGGTTCACCCCCTTGAGCAATTTAGAACAGGCTCAGGGCAGCTCTGTCACACCAGCTTCTAACAGACCCCCCCAGGGCCATCACCCCAGCAGAGTGGCACCAAAACACAGCACCTAAGCAGTGAGTTGTGACAGTGAGTAATGGATATGGCAGTAGGGAACTGGCTGGATCTTTTAATCATTCATTTCCAGACTTTCTAATGTTTGGGCATTAATTTTGAAGGAACAGCTATTTAGGGCTGGAGGCGGGAGAGCTGGACTAGGCAGCTGGCATGCTGCAGCTGCTATTTATTATACAAAACTTGATCATCTCACTGTTGCCTTGTCACCCCATCTATTTGCTGTATCTGCCGATTGTCTCATGTCATATGCTAAGATTGTAAGCTGTCTGCAGCAGGGACTGTTTTGTATTGCATGTGGCCAGTATCTAGTACAACGGGGCCTTGATGCCTGATCAGGTGCTACCACAACAGAAAGAAAAACTCCTCTAACGCACGCTTTCACCCGTAACTCTCTTTTAACGAAGAGCCTTACTGGTGAATCTCCGTAGGTTTATACCACAAGCTTCAAGTAAAGGAACAGCCCATTTCAAAGGGCCCCTTTTAAATCTCTTTTGGCAGATGTATTTTCAATGAAGATGCGTGTGGAATTTTGCAGCTGTGCAAGCTCAGCAAGATTGCACCAGTCGTGAGAACCTCTCACAACTTATGCAGCAACTCAAATGCTGCAACATCAGGCAGCAAAGTTGGAAACTGAAGCTCCGCTGAACTCAGGCTTCCATTCTTCAGGCCTGCAAGCGGCTGTGGCTTACACCACTAGCTCTACCGGGATAAGGCTGAGGCCTTGTGAGTGCAGTGCTGCATGCCAGATGAAATGCACAGCAGCTTGTAGCAGCAGACAAGGGAGTCACGTGCCCATCCGAAGGACTGGAAGGGAGCTGCTATTTTGCAGTTGCTACACAGGAGAGGAGATTGGGAAATAAAATGAAAACACAGGGATGCCTGGGCAGGGGAAATCCAGCGAGAGGGCACAGGCAAAGAGAACACAGGGAGAGCCCAGGGTTTGTAACTGTGCCTCAGCTCTGGAGGAGTGTCTATCTTTCAACTGTTGTGACTAATGGGAGCATCATAATGGCCTCAAGTAGGCTTTGAATAAATGATAAATACTTTACAGTCACCTGGCACCTTTCAACTCCGAGCTTGTTACAAACATGGAGGGCGTGGAATTTATAATTGCTCGGTGGAGCAGGAAAACATTATAATTCCCCTGGCGAGCTGAGTAAACTGAGGCATGAAGCAGCTAGAGACTCAGATTTCAGATGTGCTGACCATGAGCTTCGGGCAATGGGAAGTGTGGGTGTTCAGCACTTCTTAAAAAAAAAAAAAAAAGGCACTAAGGCCCCAATCCTGCAAACACTTATGCACATGCTTAATTTTATCACTATTACTGTTCTTAGCTTTACTATTTACTTACAGTAGTAAAGTTCAGCACAGCATAAGTGTTTGCAGGATCAGGGCGTTAGTGACTTACCCAAGGTCACCCAGCCAGTCTGTGGCAGAGTCAGAAATAGAACCCAGGAGCCCTATGATCAGTTCTTGCTCTAATCATTAGACCACACGGCCCCTCTCCTCTCTTAGCAAGACTCCACTGACAGGCATCCCCGCACTGGATTTTCCCCCCAGATCCCAACCTAACCAATAGCAGGGTTCCTGGGCATGCAGTGAGTCTTTGCACAAGGCAATGTGGCTTGAGACTGCTTTACCACTGGAGTTGATTCCTTGGTGGTTCATGTGGGGGGAGCTGTGACAGCGGAGCCCGGGTGCATCAGACATTTACAATGACTTGAAGTCTGGAATAGACATTCAGTGACCCCTTTCATCCATGCAGGAAAAACAGCTGACATTTATTTAAACTGAGACCAAAAGGAAAAAGCTCCATAAAAAAAAGCCTTATGATGAAATGACAGCCCTCGTTCTGCAGCATCCTCATCTTATCTCCTCCTTGGTGACAGTGGTGGGTGTTGCAAAAGTGGATGGCGGGGGGCATGGAAAAAAAGAGGCAGATAATCTTGCACATTGTACTTTACTGAGCACCTGCCCGCTTGTCCCCCAAGGCTGGCTTAAGCCTCCACAGTCACCCTGTGCTTTCAGGCAGCTGAATGCCACTGGCGCTTGGGATCTCTTGGATCTTATTAACGAACCAAACCAAACCAAACCAAACCCACGTGCCACACCTGGGTAGGAGAAAGAGCGAGGAGAGAGCAGCTTAAGACATTGGGCACGAAAAGCCCCTTTGCTCTTTATTCTTTGCAAGGAGAATTAGGTCCAATTCCCTTTGCAAAGAAATAATAATAATAAAAAAGAGAGAATGCAAAATCCAAGCCGTGCGCCTGGCCACCCAGAGCAGTTGGGGAGGGGAGGCACTTTGCAAAGGGGGTGGGAGGGATTTGGGTTGTAATTGCACCAATGACGTGCCTATTTAGTGCTTTGCGGGGAGAGCGAAGGAGGAGCGTGGGTACCTTTAGGACTTTGTATCGCACCCCTATTGAAGAGAGTTGTATCACTTCAGGGTTGCCAGCGCATTTTATTTTGTAGTGGATGCTAATAAGAAAGGAAGATCTAGACTGCGAACTTTGCAAGCCCACCCTGGACAAAACAGAAAGCCATTATGGAAGGTCCAGTCCAAGGTGTTAGACTGATTCTGTGTTGTGCAAATAATAACTGCCCGGTGGGGACAGGGGTGTGAGCCCCTGATCGGTGCTGCCCAGAGGAGGCAGATTGCAAAGTAAATAAATACAGGGGCCCTCCCACACCACTACACCCCTGCTCAGGTTTGGGTGGGGCTGGATGCTAAGTGGGTGGGCCACAGCCCACCCAGGGCTATGCCCCTGTCATGTGTTGGCATGTGTGCTACGTTTGAGGATATTTTATGTTCCCAAGAGATGATTCTTCGTGCACGGTTCCAGGATATCATAAGAACATAACAATGGCCGTACTGGGTCAGACCAAAGGTCCATCTAGCCCAGTATCCTGTCTTCCGACAGTGGCCAATGCCAGGTGCCCCAGAGAGAATGAACAGAACAGGTAATGATCAAGTGATCCATTCCCTGTCGCTCATTCCCAGGCTCTGGCAAACAGTTTATCACATTAATCCATACCTCAGTACCAATACGCAGGCTGCCACCAAGGAATAAGCCAGCAGGGTCCCGATGGACATAAGATCCACAAGATCTTTCAGGTCAAAAAGAAAGGCCATGGCAGCTGGGGAGTGTGGAAAACAGAAACTGATAAGCTTGCAGAAGAGTCATGTTATGGGAGTCAAATTCAATACAGTTGAAGCAAGACCATTGCTCTGTCTTCAGATCTGTACTGAGAGAAACCCCAAGGACACATTGGGCTTTGCAGTGTCTCTTGTGAGAGGAGAGATGTGACTCAGGTGTAATGAATACATACCAAACTCTTTATTGCTGCTGATGGACACAGACAGACCCTGTAATCCTCTCTGGTGCCCACACTAACGCAGCCTAGAATGACTCTAAGAGCTTTGTTTGGTCTCTACAGCACTTCCCTCCCACCCTATACTCGGCAATAAGAACCAGACCGTGGCAGGTTGGCCCTCTTCTAATCAGGCAGGGAACAGAATAGACCCAAAGGACATTCCAGGAGGAATTAGTCAAAGCTCAGGAACTTGTTAACAAATGCCTAAGGCCACAGGGCAGATTCCTGACACAGTTACCTACTGGTATCTGCCCATCTCAGGCTGCTAGGTAAAGGCTGTATACAGCTCAAGAGGAGGTGGGGTGCGTAACACAGGAAAGACGCATTCCAGTCTCTTTCTGTCTGTGACTCTTCTCTGCCTGTAATGTTTACTCAAGTTTACAAACCCCCACTGAGGTTTTAAAGTCATGCTGGTAAAAACGTGTGGCAAAGACATGACTGGAGTCACCGGGACTAATCACATCAGGAAGGTGAGCAAGCCTTGGCCATGCGTTGCAAACACATTTTTGGGAGGTGTCACAGGGTAAGTTGGGCCTTAAAGAAGAGCTCAGGCCCCAGCTCCTGCTTGTGCTGCTTTTCCTCCCAGATCAGGTGACTTCAGGCTACAGCAAGGCCTGATGGGAAAGATGGCAGGACAATATAAGGCTCCTTTCTGGTCCAGGAGTGAGCAAGCTGGGGAAGGATTACTGATTTTGTGTGATGAAGGTTGATTGGTGGAGACCCATTGAGGAGAGATACTCTGGTCCCAGTGGGGGGGACGGGGGGAGAGGGAGGACTGTTAAACCCTGCACCAGGGCAGGACTAAGACATAGGCACTACAGGCCTATGCTTAGGGCCCAAGTTCCTAGGGTCATGTGATCCCGTTAGAGCAAAGCATCATGCCACCCATCCAGTTGGAGGAAGGCTATTTCTGCTGGCCATGCACCTTGATCAGAAAGTTAAACCAATGCCCCCATAGGAGGCTTTAAAAAGAGCTATATGGGGCTTTAGAAAGGAGACCAGCTAAACACATGAAAGACACAAAATACAAATATATTAAAATAACCTTAAAGCTGTGACACATGCTCAGCCCCCACAACTAAGGCCAGAGTTTCACAAGAGCTGAAATGTCCACAGCATCCATATGTGGTGCATCTAGCACCAATTGCCAGTCCCAGCTCTGGGGTTGTGGGTAAAGAGGAGACACATGCACAGAGTTAGTTGTTAACTATTTAGGGAGTTTTTGCTTTTCTCTGATAGCTGGGAGGCTAAACTTCCCGGATTTGTGAGGGTTGGGGGGCAATCTTACCAGCTGTAACAAATGCCTAGGCCACAGGGCAGATACCTGACACAGTTACCTACTGTTATCTGCCAAGCTCCGGCTGCTATGTAAAGGTTTTATACAGTATCTGTCACCATGGTACGTAGGCACAGGCAAGTCTACAGCCACAGGGACCCTGGGTTGGGCTTGCCCACCTTCTGCGCGAAGCTAATTTTTTTTTAAAACCATAGCAGCGCACAGTGAGTGGAGTAAGGCGCTACTTGGCATGAGTAAGGAAGGCAGTAGTGGGTTCTGAGAGAGACCCCATGAGAAAGATCTATATCCACAAAAGAGACTTTGTGTTTCCCTAGTCCTGTGCTATTCAGACTTTGGGAACCCAGAACTAAGCTCAGGAAGCCATGTTGTGGAAATAGAGAACACAATATGGAGGATTAGAGCTGAGTTGCTGTATTTTCCCCATAGTGGAGCATATTTTTGCTTTCTGTGCATTCATGCAACTCTTGGCACTTACCTGCCACAGCCCCTGAAGTTGCCGTAGCGATTGCTGGGGTTTTGGTTCTCTTGCTGACCGTAGCCAAACATTTAAACAGCAGTCCGTCTTCTGCCATAGCATAAATTACTCTAGGCATCGGAAACATGGAGCCAAGAAGGCTAAGGAGAGAAAAAGGCATTATTTACTAGTACAGCTCTCATACCACACAGGGACCGAAGGTAGAAAAATGGAAGTGCGTTAATCGCAGCCCAGTAGCGGAATGGCTTTAGTTAACAAAGCTTCAATTCCAAGGTCTTCCCCAAGTGCTGCCCCCACTACACAGACATACTACTCACTGCTGGGAACGAGGCTCCAGATGTGCAAATTTGGATACCTAAAGCTAGGCACTTAGGCCCCAGATCCTTAAAAGGTCCTTAGGCACTTAACTCTCATTGATTTCAACGGGCACTAGGTGCCTAGGACCTTGGAGGATCTGTGCCCTACATCCAGATTTCGGCTCCTGTATGGAAGTGGCCTGATTTTCAGAGGTGCAAAACACCCAAAAACTGCACTGGTTCCATGGAGCTGTTCCCACTTACATCTGCTCTGTCTGAGTCAGTTGTGTCTTGTTTCCCCAGGGCTACTGGTAAAAGAACGCTTCTTTTTTATGTATTCAAGAGACACACAATTTCAGACGGTCCTTAAGAGGGAGGTTTCCTGAGTCACAAATGGGAGCTTCCAGCTCTGAAACCTAATTCTAAGAATTTGTTTGAACCTTTTGACACAGGGTGAAATCCTGGCCCTATTGAAGTCAGTGGGCCTCAGATTTGACCCAGGGGGCCTGAATCCTCTGGCACTTACCCCAGCATAGATCCACAGTAACATCACTGGAGTGGAGTTACACCAGTGTAAGGGACATAGGACTAAGGTCCTTAGCTCGTAACACACAGAAAGAGGAGGCAATGGAAATACAAATCTGCACTGAGAAGAGTACAAGAGAACAGCATCTCACCTAGTAGAAAGGGCACAAAGTGAACCAACGGCCACTGCATAGTTGGCACCCTCCCAGCCCACGTACTGGAATGCATTGGGTAAAGGACTGTTTGGATCAAGCAAGTAGTAGGGCATCATGAGCGTGAGGGCAGCTGACACGCCAAAGTAAGCGACGAAGCAGATCAGGAGCGAGGCGACGATGCCAATGGGAATCGCTTTCTGAGGGTTTTTCACTTCTTCGCCTAGAACAAAGACAGTTAAGTTGCAGCCACAGACAACAAAAAGACTAATTCAATGAGACTCCCAGGTGAGGTGGGGCTTTCAAAGGAGCCTGGGAGAGTAAGGTGGCCAGCTCCTAGAGATAGTCAAGAGGAGCCAGCCCTGCCATTTATGTCCCTGGAAATCTCCCTCATAATCACGGCCTTAAAGGGGACTGCCACCACTTTGTGTGACAAGTTTTGGAGTTGAATGTTTGAGAAGAATCATTATCACTACAATTCAGAGAGCCAGCATTCGTTCCAAAATAGCGCTGGGTGCTTCACCCCGATACAGTTGCTCTCTCTTAATTCACAGGGGCATCGGGCTCTCTGAATCAGGTTAATCTCTGGTGTAAGTTCAGGGAGTTCAGAGAAGACTCTGGCCCTAGGTGCCTCAGCAGGTTAAAGGGAATGGAAGGTGCTCTGCTCCTATCGGGAAGCACTTGAGCTAATTGGAAAAATGGACGCAAAAAAATCTCTGTGGAAACTATCAGTCACTTTCCTTCCACAGGATTCCAAAGAGGGGGGCTGAATTTTCATGTATTCAAAATTTTCTTCGAAAATGTATCCATTTTGGTTTTGACACTTCATAGATTCATAAAGTCCAAGGCCAGAAGGGCCCACTGTGATCATCTAGTCTGACCTCCTGTATAGCACAGGCCATAGAACTTCCCTAAAATAATTCCTAGAGCAGATCTGTTAGGAAAACATCCCAGCTTGATTTAAAAAATCGCCAGTGATGGAGAATCCACCATGATCCTTGGTTGGTTGTTCCATGATGAATTACCCTTACTGTTAAAAATGTAGGCCTTATTTCTAGTCTGAATTTATCTAGCTTCAACTTCCAGCCATTGGATCAGGTTCTACCTTTCTCTGCTAGATTGAAGAGACCGTTGTTAAACATTTGTTCCCCAGGTAGATACCTACAGACTGTGATAAAATTACTCCTTAACCTTCCCTTTGTTAAACTAAATAGACTAAGCTCCTGGAATCTAATAATATAAGGCAGGTTTTCTAATCCTTTAATCATTCTCATGGCTCTTCTCTGAATCCCCTCTAATTTATCACCATCCTTCTTTTGTCCATCCTTTCTCCTCCCTCACCCCCATTTCAGTTTCTTTTATTCATTTTACTCCGGGGGAAATAAAGATGAGAAAACTCCCCCAAACCTACGTTTCCATATTATGAAACCGAAAACTTTGAAAACAAATGTTTTGCCAAAATTTTTAATTTAGAAAAAAGGCCATTTTTCTAGCCACCCCTACCCCCCCAAAAAACAAAAACAAAAACCATAAAACCTGTGACTAGCCAGCTCTCTTGAGCACCTTGTAGATCAGGACCCATGAGGCCAAGAGACTGTCTCAAGATCATACAAGACGACCATATCAGAGCTGGGGACAGAGCCCTGTCTCCTGACTCCCAATCCTGTACTTAGCCCAAGATCGTTTCTTCCCACTGCCCCACAAATCAGCATACCGCACTGCTGCATTTCCTGGTTTCAGCTAGGACAGTGCAGTGGAAGCCTATTCTTGAAGTTTTCCAAACCAACATAAAATGGGAAGTCCTGGAATCTCACAAGAATAAAGAATGGATGGGCACCATCTGGATGTGATGTTCAGTGAATGAAATCAGAAATATTATTTATTTGCATTATAGTAGCAACTAGAGGTTCCCAGTCAGGATCAGGGACTCAATGATCTAGCAACTGTACAAATCTATAATAAAAGATGTTCCCTGTCTCAGAGTGTACAACGCAAGTCTTAAATTTAGAAACAATAGGCGGGAGAAGAAGGATGGATGGGTGACCCTAAAACTGAAAAGATGAAGTGATTCCATAGGACAGCTAGTGCACAGCATGATTTCCTGATTCAGCTGAGAAGAGGTTTGAGTCATTTGTAAATTGTATCATGTGACGTTACTGAGGGCAGCCAAGCTCATAATGGGAAACAAGTGTTCTCTCACAATGAGAGCTTTCTGCTTACCTGTGGTGGCAATACAGTCAAATCCTACGAAGGCGTAAAAGCATGTGGCTGCCCCTGAGAGGACTCCATTGAATCCAAAGGGCATAAACCCCCCAACACCATGCTTCAGATCTACCTGTGTTTGACTGAAAAGAACAAGAGATCAGGAGAGATTCTGCCTCAGTACAGACACCTATCTGAAGTGCGTTCCTGCAACCTGTAACAGAATCCACCCTAACTGGAGCTGGAGGGAGAGTGCTTTCAGGTACACATGGTCAACAAACTTATAGAGGAGATGATGGCATTTGCTACAGCTTACACTACATAGAGATTTGAGTCAGCCTGTGACCGGCTAGGGAACACTTTGAACACTCAGCATTTAAGGCTTGCTCAGATCGTCCATTGTTTTCTAGGGTTTATTAACATGGCTGAGGTGGGAGGAGGAGGGGAGAGGAAAGACTGAACTTGGTCTCCTAACATCTCAACCTGGCAAAAAAGTTTAAACTTATTTAATTCTGAAAATGGTGAATGGATACAAATGCTCAAAGGAAGTTTACCCACTTTCAGGTCCTCCGTTGATCTTCTATTTTAAACAAAAGTTTATTTTAAATAACTCTGGCCAAAATATGGCCTCATCAGATTTTAATTTTCAAATATTACATCTCCTGCTTACTACTGTAAGGATTTTTAGGTAGGCCCTAAATCCTGAAAATACTTAAACCCGTGCTGCACTCTGAGCAGTCCCATTGTAGTAAACAGGGCTACTCTCAGCGGGTGAGTTAAGCACGTGCATAGATTGCAAGTAATAAGGGCCCAAAGAAGGTGGCCTACAAATGCAATCATGGAATTGGTCAAGAGGAAACCTTTCGTTTTAACAGGTAATTTCGGGTATGTCTACATTGAAGCAAGGAGTGAGCCTCCCAGTTCAGGCAAACCAGCTTGTGTTAGCAGGGCTCATGCTAGTGCGCTAAAAATAGCAGCGTGGACATTGTGGCACCAGTGGAGGCCTGAGCTCCAACCTATCCTGAAATCCAGAGGCTAGCTCAAGCCTCGTCTCTGCCATAATGTCCACACAGCTACTTTCAGTCTTACAGGTCAAGCCCCACCAGCACTAGGGAGAAAAGGGGAAATCTTAGATCTCTGTGGAAAAAATCCCTCCTGCCCCAGTTGAATTTTTAAAAATAATTTTACCAATTTTCAAGATGTGACTAAAATGCATTCAATTTCTGTGGGCAGGGAGAAGTGCAAAATACCACGTAACCTTGGTTAACACTAGCCACTAATAAAGCAGCTAAATGAAACTCCACTCACAGTCTGTTCCTATAAGGTGCGCGCCTGTGCGGCCGCACACGAGGCCATCAAAGGCCACGCAGCAGCCGCACACGTGCGCACACAGGTGAGTGGGGAGAATGTGGAGGGTTAGGGCAGTGGGGTGAGGTAATGAGGGCTCCGGGGAGCTTGGGGCATGCAGGTCTTGGGAGGAGGGGAAGATGCCTCAATCCCGTGGCCCCAGTTCCGGCCAGGGCTGCAGCAGGGATGGGAGAGGCGCGCCTCTCTCCTGGCAGCAGGGATGAATGAGGCGCCTCTCTCCCAGCCCCAGCTCTGGCCAGGGCTGCAGCGGGTACGAGAGAGGTGCCTCTCTCCCCTGGCCCCAGCCCCAGGGCTGCAGCAGCCAGAGAGAGACGCCTCTCCCAAGGCTGGGGAGGGGAGAGACGTGTGTGTCTCTCTCTCTCTCTCACAAACACACACACACACACACACACACAGAGTGTGTGTCTCTCTCACACACACACACTCTGTGTCACACACATACACACGCACACACTGTCTCTGTCTAACCTACACAAACACACACACTCTTTCACACTCACCTCCCAACATATTTGTGTTGTTGTTGTTACTTCTTGATACTTCCTGCAATGCACATATATTCTCTGTAATTTTATTCTTTCAAAGTGCTACTTTATTTTTTTGACTGGTCTATGCATTTCATAATTTTTATTTCTCTCTTACGCTTAAATTTAATTCTTTGAGTAGTGAGTTCTAAAATGCCTAACCTGTCCTGGCTGGAGTAATTATCCCTATGGTAACTTTAAAAAAAAAAAAAATCTATATAGGTTTTTTGTTTCTACTGGTGGCGCACATCCGCACATTACCTCGATATTGGTGCACATAACAAAATTCATTCCGCACATGGGTGAAAAAAATTAGAGGGAACATTGCTCACAGTAGCTTTATACCTGTTCGTGAGTGTTCTCACACTGGCCTCCAGTTTTGCTTGTGTAAATAACTGTGGGCACAACTTTGCGCCTATAATTAAGGCATTAATAAAAATTAAATTAGGGCCATTAAATAATCTAAGCCCTGGATTTTTCAATTCAGTCAGCTATACAGACAGCTAAGTCCCCTAAGTTTGGAAGCCCCATTACATGTGAAAATAATTTAGACAGTCGAATGTTGATGTTTCTGGAGATGCAGCTAAACTATGCACAAACCCCAGCTCCCCTGGCACATGTCACCAAAATGCAATTCTAATGGGTGAAAAGCTGTAACTAAAGTGAATAATTATCACGACATGCAGGGCAATGCTGGTGCTGAGTCATGTTGTGTCCTCTTGTACAGAGGGAATTATTTACCAGAGAATAAGTCCATTATGGGCTGAATCCTGAAAACCAAATGAGGCCCATAAAAGGTCCTACATGCAGCTGAATCAAATGGTCGCAGTGCAGAGGGGTGGGCAGGATGTGGGGAGCCCAGGCCAGGGGCCTGCACCACTCCAGCTTGCTGTAGAACTATGCTTTTTGGGATTTCCCTGCACCCAGGCACAAGGGGCTTAGGTAGCAAGCCAGGACTGGTAGAGCCATTAGATCCACCAGCCAAACAAGCCCATGGAGGACATGCAGTAGCAGCCTCAGAGCAGCTCTGCTGCATTCCACAGCCTGAGGGAAGAATTCCTGCCTCCACAATCCCTGCCAACCTCTTCACTGCTGAGCTGCCTCACTCAGGCCTGGGCCAGGGGAAAAGATTTGCAGCATCATGATAACTGGATTTCTGATTTGCACACAGCAATGCACCCAAATAATCCGGGATTTACATTTTAACTGAGGTGCTTAGGGCAGATTTCAAAGGTATTTACGTATTGAAGATTCAGATAGGTACCTACTGGGATGCAATAGCATCCAAGCAGGTTAGGTGCTTAACTGCATTGAAATTAATGGAAGGTAGGTGCCAAATCTGCTTGGGCACTTTTGAAAATCTCACTGGGTGCCTACTAGCCTACTGGGCCATTGACTTCAATAGGTTTGCCTTAGTACTAATGGACCTCATGCCTTGGCCCACTCCCAGAAGTTTCTCTACATCCAAAATTACTATAAGCAGGTCCCTGTGTATTCACTTCTAAACAGGTCCATTACGACTACTACTTTCATTGTGTTAATTCACATTGCTGATAAACTGACTTGTCTCCACCCTGAATTAACAAGTGATGTAATGACAGCTGACACTTCTGTGCAGCACTGCTACCTGTGACTATCTCTCCAGATGCTAATCTGCTTTTTTTCCCCAGCGTTAAGAGTTGTTCTGAGAAGAGCTGCTTGCACTTTGTGGTTAAACAGTATAATCCATACATTTTTGCAGCAGTTAATTGCATTTGCTGTGTATCCCTTTTTTATTAGTCAGGTTTTTTTCTTTTTGCACAGCAAGGGCCGGATCCTGAACCTGTCTAACTAAGCAAAGGCCCATTAACTCCCATATGGAAATAAACCACGTGAGGATTTGGCCCAAAACTGTTTCTTTCTTTTCCTGTCCTTCATCTAAATGCAGATTCATAAAATGGAAGCTTTCAACAGCAGCAGAGCCCTGGCCAGAAATAACTGCGCAAATTCCAGAAGAGGCAAGAACCAAGTGGGTGATCAGTCCCAGGTTTAGGAGAAGAGAGGGATAACTTGACAGCGCTGAAGTGTGCACAGCGATGACAGTGTTACTAGAAGTGGAATGAGCCATTAGCTTCACCGAAAATCTCCTAGTACATTTACTGGTTTAAATGACTCAAGCTGGACAACGACTATTTAAATGCCTTCCAGCACTGTATATATGCCCAAACTATGGTGGAAAACAACTATAAAACATTTCACTGCTCAAATGATTTCAGAAACCGTAGGATTCATCCAATTTAAGGAGATGTTGTTACAGAAATAGAGCCCAACCTTAAATTCCTTATTCAGAGCCAGAATGTGTCCATGTCCCTCTCACCCTCTTAGCAATGAGATTCTCACAGGGGTTTTCTCCCACATGGCCTCCCAGCTGTGGTTTTTAATCACAGGTGATCTAATCTCAAGTGTCTAGTCAACCCTCCCTCATGCAGAGCTCCCACTGACATTCATGGGATTTCTGCCTGAGTGCAGACCGAGTGACCACTTGGCAAAGCCTTGGAATTTGGCCCATAATGACGATGCGTGAATCTCTGAGTGGTCCCTGAAAACGGATCGACTTGAATAAGCAAACGTGAGAAGAGAAGAAATGCTGTGACCTACTTGTCTCTACATGAAGCATTGGTCGTGTTATAGATGTCGTCGATGGTGAGATGCCAGTTTTTGACTGATCCCTTCACAAAGCCTGACACCATAACGAAGCCAAGGACGAGAACGTTGATGCAGGTGAATATTTTGTTTACCATTGCGGATTCTTTCACTCCACAAGTTAAAAGCCCTGGAAAAATTACAAAGAACAATCAGACATTCCTTCAACAACAGTACATGGCCCAGCCGCAGCAGAGCAAAGGGAAGCCCTGACTTTTTGTGCATGTCTCTCTCACTGCATTGTTGTGCTAATAAAAAATACCATTTAAGTGGTCTCTCTACACTGGAAAGCTGCTAGGTTGAGTAAAAGTCTAATACAAAAAGATAGGGTCCAACCCTGCAAACCTTTTTTTTCATGAAAACAGTCTTATTAAAGTCAATAGGACTGAGCCCTTGGTAAATACAAACTCCATCCAGAGACCACAGATCAAATTAGCTCTAGGCCTTGGAGAAAGCATCATTGGTGATTTTTGTGAAGTACCTCATTGTGGTCATGCAGGCCCTGGCTAAAGCGCAGAAGTCACCAGTACCAGCCATCTTCAACAGTTCCTTGGGAAGATGGGCAAGTATCATGCCAGTGCAGGGATCAGACACAGCAGGTCACTTACCTGACACTTAAATTGAACGAATCATAAGAACAAAAGAATGGCCCTACTAGGTTAGACCAAAGGTCCATCTAGCCCAGTATCCTGTCTTCCGACAGGTGCCAGTGCCAGGTGCCCCAGAGGGAATGAACAGAACAGGTAATCATCAAGTGATCCATCCCCTGTCGCTCATTCCCAGCTTCTGGCAAACAGAGGCTAGGGACACCATCCCTGCCCATCCTGGCTAATAGCCATTGATGGGCCTATCCTCCATGAATTTATCTATTTTTTTTTTAACCCTGTTATGGTCTTGGCCTTCACAACATCCTCTGGCAAGGAGTTCCACAGGTTGACTTTGCACTGTGTGAAGAAATACTTCCTTTTATTTGTTTTAAACCTGCTGCCTATTAATTTCATTTGGTGACCCCTAGTTCTTGTGTTATAAATCACAGAGGAAAAGGTCATGGGGAAAATCCTGACCCCACTGTAGCCAAGGGGAGTTCTGGCATTGACTTCGCTGTGAGCAAGATTTCAGCCCATTTCTTTAAAAACTTGCATCTTAATGAATAGCATATTTTTAAAAGTGCCAGCAATAACAACGAGTCAGCACTCTGCATTTAGAATAACAGATTTTGTTTCTCTTTTTCAATATTTAGCTAATAACTAGCATTCCTACTCCCTTGCTTGCTGTTTAAGAAAGAGGTTACCTGTGTAACCAAAATCTAACATGTAGTCTTAGTGATAAACATCAACATGAAGTGTGAGCAATGCTTAATTTCTAATGAAAGAGGCGCTGAGGGTCAAGCAATTAAAAATGCCAGGGCTCAAGCAATTTTTTTACATTCATCACTGATGTAGCAAACCGAGAGGTGCCGGGGCTCTGAACTGTCAAGCTTAGAGGTGCCAGGGCTCAGCCCTGGCACAAATTAAGCACTGGGGGGGGGGGTGTGGGGGGAACACTGTGATGGGACCAGGATTTGGCCAACAGAGAGTTTATTTCACTCACAGATGTGGAGTTCATAGATTATATGGTGAGAAGGGACTGTTGTGATTGTCTAGTCTGACCTCCTATACAACAAAGGCCCAAGTTTGTATTTTTGAAACAAGGAAATAAGCAATGAAATAGATGGTGGACACAGCAGAAGATCTAGATAAAGCAGGGTGGGCAACCAGAAAATAAGAAATCAGGCACCAAAAAGTAGGTGATTCTCAAGAGCTGAGACAGGCATAAACTACAGGGCATATATACAGTGGCAGAGCTAATAGAAGTGGGGGGGGGGACACCACGGGCTTTAGGTGCATGTGTGGCACCTTTCTCACAGGGCTGGAGCGAGAGTCTGCTGTGCACTCACCTGACAGCAGCAGCTGGGCCCAGCTCCCTGCTCCAGGCATTGTGACACGAAGCACAGGGTCGCAGTACCACGTGACCTTGTGTGCCATGTCACAACACCACTCACTCAAATTTGACCCGGCTGCTTCTCTGTCGTGCTGGGCCAAACCTGAATGTTGCAGTGAGCTCGTGCGCCAGGTCGCAACGTCAGGAGTGAGGAGCCAGTCCCAGCCCGGGAGCCACCACTGCTGCGTAGTGTGGAGTGGGCTTGCTCTCCAGCCTGCCACCAATGACCCAGTTGCAAAACCTAGCTCTGCCACTGCTTATATGTGGAAATAAAGCTGCTTATTCAGAAGCTTTCTGCAGCTGCAAAGGTTTAGCCTTTTTGCAAAATGTTCAAAATCTGAAGAGGTTTCCCATGCAGTAGAAAAAAGCTGCTGACGCAGTTTTACTCTCAAATAGCAGTGGGTGACACTCTACAGATAAAGAAATTTAAGTAAGCACATACGTTTGACTACTGATCCAAATCAAACCCAAATGGAACCTCCGGGGCCAAATTCTGATCAGTCAGACCACTTTACATCTGGAGCCACTCCATTACATCTAGATTAACTGAGTACAGAATCTTCCCTCACATCTGCTAACTCAGAGCTCAGCACTTCAAGCCCTGTACATGAGGGGTTCTGATGGACTTCAACGGGAGTTCTACACTCATCAAAGGGCTTGCAAAAACAGGGCCTACGGCTGGGAACCTCATAAGAACATGGTTCCTTGTGAGAGTTCTGACACTTCCTGCTTCTGATCAGGCCTAAAGTATTGCAAGAAGAGCCTCTGTTGTGGTATCATGGTATCTCCTACCCGCTAGGAAGCATACAGGTGCAGGGAAATGATTTTCTTTTAATTAATATGACGTTTGACAAAGTTTTGAAAGGTTCAGTCTGACATTTGGGTGAAAGTTCAGCTGGGTTTTGATTTTAATTCTTGCTCTTGTACAAAATACTCCCTGCATTCCAATCGAAAACCGAAGACATGTTTTGGATGTTATGGAAAGAGAGAAACCAGTTTATTTTTCATGCAGAATTATTTCTCTTGAGTCCTGCAATCACTGCTGCAAATTGAAGTTCACATATTTTAAAATAAACAGTCATGCACCAGGGTGTTACTTAGTTCCGTCCTTTCCCCCCACATTTTCCTGGCCAGTGTGCTATATAAACTGGCAGATCATCAGAGTGGGAGTTAGAATAATAGAACAGAGTCCCTCTGCAATAGCTTTAAAAAAAAGCCCTCCATACCTGTCTCAAGGTAACAAATCTCCCTGTCTTACTCTACATGGTATAAAGATTGATTGTTTCACCAGTGTTCCTGTAAACACCTTGAATGCTCCCCTAATGAAAGAGCTCGCAAACAGGATGTGCAGAGTTTGAACTCCAGAGCTGCTAAATAGGTCAATCCGACACTTTGGGCAAACAAAAGAGCCTTTAATAAATTGTCCAAAATAAATGAGGGTTTTTGCTCGTTCACCAAAAGCAAACAATGAAATTACAGAAAAGTAAGTATCATCCCAGCAACGTTCCCAAAGGTTTTACCTGTTAAGATGAAGATGATGAGAACAGAGAAGATATCTGGATATTCTGCTAGCACCCCTGGAGCGTTCATTGTCATGTGCTCTTGGCAGAAGCGCTCAATGTGCTTGCCTATGAGTTCATCAAACGTCGCACTCCATGCTCTGGCCACGCTTGATGTTCCTACCAGAAAACAGGAAGGAAACACAGCACTTTTCATGACTAGAAAATATTTCTAAATGAGCGGCACTACTTACTGCTGCATGACAGCAGCAGGGATCAGCCCAAGAAGGGTGCAGCTGACCCCTGGTATTCAGTTAGCAGGGGCGAATAGTGAACCCTCGTCCACGGGTCCACTTGGAGGCTCAGCTTCTCTACAAACCCAAATCTCAGGAGACAACCCCTCTCGCAGAAGTCCTAGCCTAGCAATTGCTTACCCTCCCCCCAGCAGCCTTCATGCCCCCAAGATCCCTTGTGAGGAAACCGCTTCCCACACTGGAGTAAACCACTTACTTCAAAGGTGTTCCACTAGTGTAACCGCTGGTGTGAGAGGAGAAAGAAGCCCTAAGACGGGAAAAGGGGGATGAGCAGGTTAGCAGGAAAAGCAAATCACAGGAGGGTATAAGATATACTGGGCCTCCTCCTTTTAAGTCACAGTGTTATCCCCAATGCTGTACATCCCTCCCGTGAGCAGGATCAGCTGCCACTGACTGAATGGGAGTTGAAGGAAAATGCAAACTGGTCCCTGCTTTGCGATTCAAACCTGGGGTTACAGGGAGATAAATTCTGCTCAGTCACACTGCTGAAAATCCAGAGTGACTCTACTGATTCCAGCTGACTCACTGGGAGAGTGGGAGCCAGGTCAGTCTTTAACAGAGAGCAAAGCAGGACCCATATATTTCAAACCCAATTCTTGAGCTACTCAACCACCCCACAGCTTGAAGTGTTGCCTAGGAAATAGAAGCTATCATATAAGAGAAATCCTGGAGTGCGGGGTAAATCCATGTTCAAGTTCTACAGCAGGGACAGAAAAATACCGCACTGCAAGATAAATGCTGAAATGTAGCTCGCAAATTCGGACAAGATGTAAATAACTTTGGAGCTTTTGAAGATTAAAAATCCCTCAACACTCTTTCAGCATTGACACTTCCTTTCCTTCTCCTCCTCCTCACCGTCTAACCTCTTTAAATGCATGCATCTAATGCACATCTAAGGAGCTACAGAACAGACCAGCATTCAAATTGGTTTTATCTAGGGGTTGTTTTTTTAATATATATCCTCAAAGCGGTGGGTTAGGCTACAGAAGTTCCCCATTGCTGACAACAGGTGCAGCTGATCCAGTGCTGACCACGCTTGAGCTGCAAGTGTAGTAGACAGAGAACCAACATCGTTCAGTGCCATTCCAGTAGCTGTAGCCAACACCTGCTGAGACACAATGTAGTCCCAGTGACTTCAATAGGATGAAGTGTAGCAGTAGGTACTACTCCAAGGAATGAGTATTGGCAAGGTTAGGCCCCACCAATGACCACTTATGACTATATAGCACCATTTTTTATAAAACTTTTCACCCTAACAACTGTAATTTTTTCCCTGTTAACACTGATGTGAAATCGCTCTTACAACTGAAACTGAAATTAATACCAAGAACGAGAATTCTAATTGAAAATACAGGCTGACAAACTAATTCTTACAGATCCACTATTTAGCCAAAAAGACCTGAGTGACGGTCTTGTGATCATTATAAACTAATAATGACAATCTAGCCTGGAAGTAGCCCCATGCAGCTGTGCAGGGAAAGATAGGGCATAACTGAGTCCTGCAGGGCTTGCCCATATCTCAGGTCCAAGCACAAGGGGCTAGGGGAAAGCAAGCTCCATGTTACTCAGACCTATTTAGCAGGGCATCACCCCCCTCTAACAGATGTTGATGAGCCTGCTACAGCCTTGGCCTAGGCCAACATAGGTAGGTCTTTTCGCTCAGGCAATAAAGGCTCAAGCCACAGGGCCCAGGTTCAAACCACATGAAGGTGTGGTGTTACAAGTCACTACTCCCTCTTGTGAGCAAGCTGGCAAAGAAGGGAATGGAGTAGGGTGACCCCCATCCCAAATTGGGCAGGGCAGTGTCGAAATGCAGAGTTCAAGCGCCAGTCTTGGGCTGCATGACTCTGGGATAGTGTTGCCAATTTTGGCTGGATGTATCCCTGGAGATTTCATCACATGACATAATCTTTAATTAAAGATTAATTTTTTAATTCCTGGAGACTCCAGGCCAATCCTGGAGGGTTGGCAACCCTACTCTGGGACAGCAATTGTCCCAGATTCCCTCCAGTGCTGCTGTGCCCAAGGCTCAGGGGTGATGCCAGCCTTTTCCCAGTGGGGTGGGCTGAGGTGGGCCCCCTCTTGCCATGAGGCTCTGCCCCCTGCTCCACCCGTCCCAGGCCCTGCCCTTGCCCAAGCCAGAAGCTAGAGCCGGGCAGTAGTAAGAGCTGCCCAGGGAGTTCAGGCCACTGTGGAAAGCCCTGGAACTTCCACATGCCCTAGGCGGCGCACCTTGGCAGGCAGGGACAGGGGCCGGGAGCTGCTCTCGGGCACCCTGTCCCCCCGTCCAGGGCAGGTGAAGAGCTGCCCATCCCTGGGCAGTTCTTATGACGGCCCTGCTCCAGCTTCAAGCCTGGCCAGGGCCTCAGGGGAAAGAGGAGGAGCAGGGGTCGGGGCCAGGGTGTCCCACTTTTGACTTTTGAAAAGGTGGTCACCCTACAAGGCAGTGGCCAGTCTTTGCTCTGTCCCCAAACAGATCAACCAGCAGGACAAACCTGGCATGAGGAGGAAAGTAAGAAGAGGCTACGCCCTGTAATGCACTGTAGTAAGTTACTTCTTCCCCACGAGCAAGGAGGAAGGAAGGAAGGAGTCACAATTGTTGTCCTGGACTCCCCCTGGGATGCGCCTGCTATGCCCACACATGCATATTTGGGATTTAGAACTCTGGTTCAAACAAGTTTGTAGGTAATATTTGAGCAAGATATTTTTCCCCCCAACAGTTTTATCAGGGAAATAGTTGAGCTGTCTATATTTAAGGGTATTCTACCTGAATGTTACTTTAACACAGTCCTATGGTAATAGTTTAGTTTAATTTTAAGATGATACAAATATTATTGTTTTTATTATGCCACCTTAAAATAAATCACACCAAATAGCCATTTATAAAAAGGTTAGGGTGTAGTATGAAAGCCATAAGGAGAAGAACAAAGGTCTCAGAAATGCCAATCTAAGCCCAGATCCTATGATTAACTTTGCTCAAGTGAATGTGTTTGCAGGATCAGGACCATGCGACCCTATCTAGCCCGAAATCCCCCTGATAGCTTCTGCTTTATTGGTTCTCTCATACCATGGTGATAAAGCCCATATAAGTACAGTATCTAGATAAACGAGAACTGCTGGACTACAGAAGTCTTCTATTTATTGCTCCAATTAAACCCTGGAGGATGCATCTCTAAGAGGTAATTAACATTTTTCTATAGAACAAAACACCTTGAGAGGAACCTATTTTGGAAATCTGGAAGTGTGTGGGGGGGAAGGGGGATCAGTTTGTTTGGAGTTTTTTTAAACTACATGTTATCCCCTTCCTGACATCAACCCAATTCATAAAAGAATATCAGAACACTAACTTCTGGGCATCTTACCTGGCACTCTCTCATTTCATATACAAAATCTAGAATGTAAAGAGGTTTCATGTAATATACAGAATGGAATCAATACTAGCCAAGACAAGCAGCACATATGTCACCAAGCAAGTCTTTATCTGATCTCTGCCAGGCACCCTGGGAATCAATCTCAGTTTTAATGGTAATATTTCCCATAAAGTGTAATTTAAAACCCCCCTTTAATAATTTAATAGAAAATTGTTTGTCATTGTAGCTAGTGGAGTTCTTCCCTTAACTGGTGTATGGTGGTTTCAGTCTGAGCTCTGGCACCATGACAAGTGGCACCATAATACACTTGAAGTGTTTGATGACTTGATTAAATGGACGAATCTTTAATTAACCGAAATGATTTCTTTATAAACCCCATAAGTGTGAACTGAGTTGTCCACTTACTCAGGGCCTGAGCCAAAGCCCATTGTAGTCAACCGGAGATTTTCCATTGAATTCAAGGGGCTTTGGATTGGGCACTGGAATGAAATCAGCGGAAGTTAGGCACCTAAATATCTGTGAAGATCTGAGCCTGAGTGCTGCAACCCACACCGGGCCCAATCCTGCACCCATTAAAGTCAATGCAAAATACCTACTGATTTCAATGGAAGCAGGACTGGATCCTTAATCAGCAAATGCTATAGATGCTGAAGCAGTGAGAAACTGACTCCCCCACCCCCCGCCAGCTGAACACCAGATTTTTCTTCCATAGCAGAAGGAAAAATCCTGATTCCTGGAAGACAGCTAGCAGGGCCTCACGCCAATATTGCATGAATCCGTTTAAACTAAAGGAAGCAGAAGTGGCAACCTGGCACTGATCCAAACTGTTAACCTATAATATTTACCTAGTTCATAGGATGACTGAATTTCCGGAAAGAGCTCTGAAATGCTCAGCTCTGGAGGCTGCTGTAGGTGCAAGGTATTCTGTAGTTTCTATTTTTATAACAATCTGACTGTGCAAGTGAAAGTTAGTGTACAAATCAGACAGGCATTCTGGATGAATGCTACAGTATTTCTGCATGCCCCTCAGTACTTACCAATCACATAAGAAAGAATTAAATTCCAACCAGTGATGAATGCCAACAGCTCACCCACAGTCACATAGCTATAGAGATAAGCAGACCCAGTCTTTGGAACTCTAGCACCAAATTCTGCGTAACAAAGTCCAGCCAACACAGAAGCCAATGCGGCAATCAAGAAAGAGATAACAATCGCAGGTCCCGCGTTTTCTCGTGCCACTGCTCCAGCCAGTATATAGACACCCGCACCAAGTGTGCTACCTACACCAAGAGCTACCAAGTCAAAAGTGTTGAGGCATCGTGACAGCTTGCTCTCTTCTCTGGTCCAGTTCACAACTTTCCGGCGAAGCAGCTTCTTTCCAAAATTGAGAAGGCCATGACAACCCATCCTTTTGTGAAGACCTGTAAGAAAGATGCTGCATAATTAGTTAAACCAGCAGTAACTCAGGAAACATCATCTCTGCATAGTAATATCACACTGCTCTTGTATTTAAAGAACAAAACCTTTCCACTTTACACCTTTTGACTCTTCAAACTGGCTGCCTGGGTCTTCAGAGTTTTATCTGCTTACTGCACAGTCAAATCACTCCTGCTCATAGAACAACATGTACATATAAAATACTAAATAAAATGTACAATAAGGCCATGTGAAATTTACACTTCAGATGTTTGGTAATACACAGTGATATAACACTTACTGAAAAATGCATATTATGAAACTGAACTCATTGTACCAGCTATGAAATCTATAATATCGACCCATGTAACAGAGACATTAGCTGAAGGAACAAACAAATTCATTTTTCAGAAGACACTAACCAAATACCTTGGCTTAACCCCGTGATATAAATCAATGGCTCTTACTCAGTAAAAATCATTATTATAACTACAGGAAAAAAGTTTAGGATTTCATACATCCCACTGTTTAGGAAAATATCTAAGTCAACGCTAACAGTAAAGCCTTTCATGAGCTACACGAATTCAAACAAGCAGCAAGGCAAATCTCAGAAAAATCTCATTTGCTGAACTGTCGGCGTTCCAAAGCACACAGAGTGCGGAAAGTATTTTTTCCCTTCATATAGAAGGTAGAACTCTTTACCTAATGGTATTAGCATGTCAACAACCACTGACAATTCTTTGAGTTAGGACCACATGCAAGTATACATCTGTTAGATTTGTCTTCAGACAGATGGCCGTTCACTCCCAAAAAGCAAAAGTACCATCGAACTATACACTTCAAATTGGTACAGTAACTCCTCACTTAACATTGTAGTTATGTTCCTGAAAAATGCGACTTTAAGCGAAACAATGTTAAGCGAATCCAATTTCCCGATAAGAATTAATGTAAATAGGGAGGTTAGGTTCCAGGGAAATTTTTCACTCGGCTGAGCCCTCAAGGGTTAACACATTGTTGTTAATGTAGCCTCACGCTCTACAAGGCAGCACAAATGGAGAGAGGAGACACAACAGACGCATGGCAGTGGCTGCAAACATTCCCTGCCGAAACTGAGGAAACTGAACATGATGAACTGAACCCATGCTATCCCACTGTAGCACACCACTCCCTCCACTTTCCAAAGTGCTGCGGGGTGCATGTGTGTGTGAGACAGAGACACACAGTGTGTGTGTGTGTGTGTGTGAGAAACACACATTTCCCCTTTAAGTACGCTGACCCCACTCTAAGTACACTGCCTTCTTAAGTAGATCAGCAAGTTGAGACAGCAGCTGCTGCCAGAAAGCTTCCTCCATCCTGAGCCCTGTCGTGTCCCCCGCCACCTCTGCTCTGTAGAGATGGGGTACAGGAGCGGGGAGGGCAGGAGCGGGGGCGAGGGGGGCACCCTGACATTTAGCACCCCTCTTCCCCCCACCCCCTGCACAGCAAGCAGGAGGCTCCCGGAAGCAGCACATGGCAGTGGGGGGAGGGACACCTGAACTGCCCGGGAATTGATAGCCTGCTGGGCAGCTGCCACACAGGGAACTTAGGGGAGCTGACAGGGGAGCTGCTGGTGCACCCTGCTTCCAAGCCCCCACCAGCTAGTCCACCGGGCTGCTCTTCCTGCAAGCAGTGGACAAAGCAGGCGGTTGCCAAACAACGTTATAAGGGAGCATTACACAACTTTAAACTAGCACGTTCTCTAATAGATCAGCGACGTAACAACAAAACAACATTAACCGGGACAACATTAAGTGAGGAGTTACTGTATAAGATAGCAACAGCCTGAGAATGAAACTCACCCCTGTGCAGAAGGTTAGCACACTCATAGACTTTAAGGTCAGAATCTAGTCTGACCTCCTGCATAGGGTTACCATATTTCAGCAAGCAAAAAAGAG